CTCCTTCCAGCACTGTCTCCGCAGGGAGGCAGAGGCACAACGTGTAAATGGCATGAGTGGGGTCTGAAGCAGTCCCAGGTTCTGACTGCTGCACTTCTGTCTTTGAAATGTAGCAAGAGCGTTGGGATCTTGCTACATTGCAAAGACAGAGGCACAGTGGGGAACCTGGGGCAAGCGAGGACTGCTTGAGTTTCCACGTACCCTGTGTCCCCCCACTGCTCTTCTGCCTTTTAAATATAGTAAGAGCCAAAGGCAGCTCTTACCACAGTTAAAAGGGAGAGGTGCAGCAGGGATAGCAAGCACCCCACGACCCCCTTATTGCCTAATTGAGTAGTTGATGGAAATTCCATTGACTACTTGATTAGCTGATTAATCAAAATTTAACATCTCTCCTTTCAAGCCAACTTAATGTTTCCAGAAACAGTGGTAGAGAAATCTTTACTATTATCCCATATAATGTACACCTTACCACTCAACCTGAACTATGAACTTTGGCTACATTCTGAATTAATAACACATTGTTGAATATAAACAGGTGACATAATATGCTATATAATTAGAATTAAAGATTTCAAAACTAATTCAGTTCCAGGGCTAGCTACAATGTCAGATCATCATGGCTGCATCTAGACTGGCAAGTTTTTCCGCAAAAGCAGCTGCTTTTGCAGAGAAACTTGCCAGATGTCTACACTGGCCGCTTGAATTTTCGCAAGAACAATGACAATCTCATGTAAAATTGTCAATGTTCTTGCGGAAATGCTACGCTGCTCCCGTTCGGGCAAAAGCCCTCTTGCGCAAATGCTTTTGCCCGTGAAAATGGCGATCGGGGCTTTCTTGCGCAAAATTGTGTCTAGACTGGCCATGGATGCTTTTGCGCAAAACCACTTTTTGCACAAAAGCATCCATGCCAATCTAGACGTGCTTTTGTGGAAATATTTTTAACGGAAAAACTTTTCCGTTAAAAGCATTTGCGGAAAATCATACCAGTCTAGACGTAGCCATTGTGTGTTTTCTACTAGTTCAATAAGTTGATGGAGTAGCCAAATGTTTTATGACTAAGAGAGGGAAAAAACAGTAACATTTTGCAAACCTAGATGCCTAAAGAAAGTCACCCAAATCTACAAGTCATTTAAACGAATGGGCAGATTTTTCCAAATTATTTGAGTTCCTCTAAGTCCTACTCAAGCTAATAGAAGTTACTCAGCACCTTTGAAAATCTCATGCCTTAGGGTGCGTCTACACTGCACTGTTATTTTGAGATAACTAGTGTTATTTAGAAATAACAATGGGAACATCTACAAAGCCATTCCATTATTTCAAAATAAATTCTAAATAACAGGCGGCTTCTTCTGAAATCTGTAAACCTCATGGGCTGTGTCTAGACTGCATCCCTTAAAGGGATGCAAATTAGACATATCGCAATTGCAAATGAAGTGGGGATTTAAATCCCCCCTGCTTCATTTGCATAAACATGGCTGCCGCTTTTTTCCAGCAAAGCTCTGAGCCGGAAAAAAGCACCAGTCTAGACGGGGATCTTTCGGAAAATAACGCCTTTTCCGAAAGATCCCTTAGTCCTTATTTTAAGAGGAATAAGGGATCTTTCGGAAAAGGATTTATTTTCCGAAAGATCCCCATCTAGACTGGCGCTTTTTTCCGGCAAAGCTCTGAGCTGGAAAAAAGCGGCAGCCATGTTTA